TCAGGAGCCACAGAGAAATCCTGTTGCCAAATTGCGGCTGTCAACTACAGGTAACCTGATAGACAAATAACCAACGTGATAAAAACCTATTCCCCCAGTTACTGAGCCTGAGGGCAAAGGAAGGTAATATGCTGTCCTGGCTGAGATGAGGGTAAAGGAAGGTAAATACGCTGTCCTGGCTTAGATGAGGGTAAAGGAAGGTAATACGCTTGTCCGGCTGAGATGAGGGTAAAGGAAGGTATACGCTGTCCCGGCTGAGATGAGGGTAAAGGAAGGTAATACTCTGTCCGGGCTGAGATGAATGAGGGTAAAGGGAGGTAATACGCTGTCCCGGCTGAGATGAGGGTAAAGGAAGGTAATACGCTGTCCCGGCTGAGATGAGGGGTAAAGGAAGGTAATACGCTGTGTCCCGGCTGAGATGAGGGTAAAGGGAGGTAATACGCTGTCCCGGCTGAGATGAGGGTAAAGGGGAGGTAATACGCTGTCCCGGCTGAGATGAGGGTAAAAAAGGGGGTAATACGCGCTGTCGTCCGGCTGAGATGAGGGTAAAGGGAGGTAATACGCTGTCCCGGCTGAGAGGAGGGTAAAGGAAGGTAATACGCTGTCCCGGCTGAGATGAGGGTAAAGGGAGGTAATACGCTGTCCCGGCTGAGATGAGGACAAAGGAAGGTAATGCGCTGTCCCGGCTGAGATGAGGGTAAAGGGAGGTAATACGCTGTCCCGGCTGAGATGAGGGTAAAGGAAAGGTAATACTCTGTCCCGGCTGAGATGAGGGTAAAGGGAGGTAATACGCTGTCCCGGCTGAGATGAGGGTAAAGGAAGGTAATACGCTGTCCCGGCTGAGATGAGGGTAAAGGAAGGTAATACTCTGTCCCGGCTGAGATGACGGTAAAGGAAGGTAATACGCTTGTGTCCCGGCTGAGATGAGGGTAAAGGGAGGTAATACGCCGTCCCGGCTGAGATGAGGGTAAAGGGAGGTATAATACGCTGTCCCGGCTGAGATGAGGGTAAAGGAAGGTAATACGCCGTCCCGGCTGAGATGAGGGTAAAGGAAGGTAATACGCTGTCCCGGCTGAGATGAGGGTAAAAGGAAGGTAATACGCCGTCCCGGCTGAGATGAGGGTAAAGGAAGGTAATACGCTGTCCCGGCTGAGATGAGGGTAAAGGGAGGTAATACGCTGTCCCGGCTGAGATGAGGGTAAAGGGAGGTAATACGCGCTGTCCCGGCTGAGATGAGGGTAAAGGGAGGTAATACGCTGTCCCGGCTGAGATGAGGGTAAAGGGAGGTAATACGCTGTCCCGGCTGAGAGGAGGGTAAAGGAAGGTAATACGCTGTCCCGGCTGAGATGAGGGTAAAGGGAGGTAATACGCTGTCCCGGCTGATTGGTAAATGGAGGACAAAGGAAGGTAATGCGCTGTCCCGGCTGAGATGAGGGTAAAGGGAGGTAATCGATATACGCTGTCCCGGCTGAGATGAGGGTAAAGGAAGGTAATACTACTCTGTCCCGGCTGAGATGAGGGTAAAGGGAGGTAATACCCTGTCCCGGCTGAGATGAGGGGTAAAGGAAGGTAATACGCTGTCCCGGCTGAGATGAGGGTAAAGGAAGGTAATACGCCGTCCCGGCTGGAGATGAGGGTAAAGGAAGGTAATACGCTGTCCCGGCTGAGATGAGGGTAAAGGAAGGTAATACGCTGTCCCGGCTGAGATGAGGGTAAAAGGAAGGTAATACGCCCGTCCCAGCTGAGATGAGGGTAAAGGAAGGTAATACGCTGTCCTGGCTGAGATGAGGGTAAAGGGAGGTAATACGCCGTCCCGGCTGAGATGAAGGTAAAGGGAGGTGAGATAGGGTAATACGCTTGTCCCGGCTGAGATTGAGGGGAAAGGAAGGTAATACGAAAGGAAGGTAATGTCCCGGCTGAGATGAGGGTAAAGGGAGGTAATACGCTGTCCCGGCTGAGATGAGGGTAAAGGGAGGTAATACGCTGTCCCGGCTGAGATGGGGGTAAAGGAAGGTAATACACTGTCCCGGCTGAGATGAGGGTAAAGGAAGGTAATACGCTGTCCCGGCTGAGATGAGGGTAAAGGGAGGTAATACGCCGTCCCGGCTGAGATGGAAAGGTACAAACCCCTTTAGGTTAAAAAAAATAATAAATAAAAATCTAAGGTAAAAAAGCCATCTTTGTGAAAGAACAAAGGATACAAAAGGAAAGTCCTGAATGGGCTCAAACAGAGAATTCTGTAAAAACAGAAAGAGATCCCATAGAAACAATGACAGGCTGACTGGAGGAACAACATACATGACATCTAGTACCAATGCATGCAACTAGAAAGTGTAATGCACTCAGCCCCTGAAAGAAGAGACTGCCAAGGCTGAAAATCTGACTCTTGATTATACACAAGGCCAGGCACACATTCACCCCCCACCCTAAGAAGGAAACCAAGACACGGACCAAAACAAGGTGGAAACCTCTTAGGTCGACAAAAACACAAAATATGATTGTAAAGACCTGCGGGAAGTCTCCCTAATTTAGAATTCCTAGCCTTCAAAAGATCAGAAACAACAAAAGGCCTAGGTACTTCTGTCTCTCAAAACCCTTTTGGCTGCAATTGTTAATCCAGTATGCCCACTGACACCCATAAGGCTGGAAAAATCAGGCTTTGTAATAGCAGGGCTTGACTATCTGGAGATCCAAGGACTTGTGTAGAATCAAAGAAAAAAACATGAAGCATGAAGTAAGGAGGGGAACAGTTCCAAAATTCTAGGGTCTGGTTCACACTGCAATGAACAGCTGCTGGTCTTTTCCGCTCAGCCTTTGGGCTGGGTACATTTCCCTTGCCGTACCATCTGGTAGCCTGGTGTATGAGGGATTCCTAGATCACAGGTGATGAGAGAAGACCATATAGTAAGAATCCAAATCCACGGCATCGCTCCCACCCTGCACCTCCTAATGGACCATCCAGGTGATAGCACTTGTACCCCGTCTCTTCTCCAACATGAAATTATGAATAGGAACAAAAAGATGAAGAGCTGCACTCTGCAATTAATAATTGTAATTAGCTCCCTCTTAATATTTCTTTCTGTTCATGACGACATAACTCCATACACATGATCTCCTCCTGAAAAACCAAACTCCCAAAATATGTTTCACTACAAAAGGGCTCGCTCACATAGAGTAGGGTTGGGGCCACTCTATCCTTGTGAACGAGCCCATTGGGGTGTGAAACAGAATAAAATATGAAGAATGGGCTGATTACGGAGTGTGACTCTTCATCTTCTTGTAGACGGTATAGTCACAGATGAGAACACAGGAGACCAAGTCCATATCTCATGCTTCCTAATTTATAGAGATAATATGTGGGCTCTAACCCTGTCCAATCACCTCTGGGGGTGTTCCCTCCTCAGCCCTGGGGTTGGTTCTGTCTTTCTGAAGGTGCCATGGGCTACATGGACTCACCGTTTCTGATGTCTTGGTTGGCGATGTGATTTCCAACACCAGTGCTTCAGTCTGATCACAACATATTCATTCACAGCATGGCTGTCATGAGCAGACCCCATAGAACCATGTTGGGGCCCCTCTGGATTCTGTACTCCTGACACATACCATTTTATATAAAGAAGGACAATCCTTTGCAGCCACTGGGGGAGCCCAATGTGCACAAATCTCTTCTCCCCACTGGGGTCGTAGTCAGCGCATCAAAATATTTCCTTTGACGCTCAGTGAGGTGACAGATCATTCATCCGTATCTATGTCTACAGGGATGTCAGATCATTATTGCCATCTAGGTGTTCATTCCTCCAATCTTCACACTCCAGAGCCAACTATTCAGATTTTTATATTGGAACCATTTGTCTTCTACTGACCACTAAATGAAGAGAACACTGTATCTGTAATACTGAACATTGAATTCCAGGAATATCTGTCATATCATGCCACCTTTACAGGGTATGTTACATCCCAACCATTGCTGGTGTCCTCCATGTCTATGGTCACCTTACAGAGACTATCTGAGATATGTTCCAGAAGGTCCTGCCAACATTCCATACAAGACCCTTATCTGAGCATGCTGGCCAGGCCAGGAAAAGGGGTGGGGAGGGGGTGTATTTCCTGCCTCTTTGAACCATACCAGGTGACATGACTTCAACATGGAGGGGTAACTTTCCGGGGGAGTGACAAGGACAAGGGGTCTCTTCCTCTTACATATACCTGTATTTATTCACAAAAATGTAAATTGTGTAAGAAACAAAATTAAAAAAATGTCCTATGCTGTACATCAATGTCAATCATGAAGTCTGATGCCCTTTCAAAAGAAAAAAATCTGATCTAATATGAGGATCGGGCCATTTCTCAACTGGAGTTCCTTGTATCCATATAACAGATGTGTGACAGGACTAAATCTGCAATTACATTTTACTGCAAAATCAAAGGGGCCAAAATTGTTCTCCCCCGAGCAGTCATATATTTCTGTCCCCCTTGGTGGGAGTGGAGGTGACCCCTCTATAAGGATCTACAGTCCATACACACCCAGCACAAGGCCGGGGTCACACTACCAGACCCTTCTTGGGGCTGCAGTTCCTCTGAGCTCCACTAGGTGGGGATCTCACTTCTACCCAGACAGGAAGTCTCTATGGAAGACAGAAAGGAAGCGATGTCAGGTGCAGACAGGAAGTAGATGGGAGATGTTGATGGAAGTGGCAGCAGAGGAGGTAATAAGATGTTATGTTCTATTTACACACCAATAACCCCCCGTTTTGTCCGTCCTCTTCCTCCATAGTCATGTCCGTCCTCTTCCTCCATAGTCACTGTGATGTCTTTTATCTTCAGCAGATGATGATACACACATATATATTACTATCCTACTAAGTGACATATTGGCATGGATGTCACTCCACTTCCTCAAACTCAATCTTTCCAAAACTGAGCTCTTAGTATTCCCCCCAGCCCGTGCCCCCTCCCCTGACTTCTCCATCAAGATCAATAATACAATCATCAGTCCCTCCCTCATGCCAGGGTACTAGGTGTAATCCTAGACTCCCATCTGTCCTTTCAGTCCCAAATCCAATCACTGTCCAAATCTTGTAGACTTCACCTCTGCAACATCTCCAAGATACGCCATTCCTAACCTCGGAAACCACTAAGCAATTTATTCACTCCCTTGTTATATCTCGCCTTGACTATTGCAACTCCCTCCTCATTGGCTGACCTCATCGCAGGCTATCCCCTCTTCAGTCTATCATGAATGCTGCTGCCAGACTCATCCACCTTACTAACCGTTCTGTATCTGCCAATCCCTCCACTGGCCTCCATTCAGTGTCTTCCACCCCTCTCTGCCAATCCCTCCACTGGTCTCCATCCCTCTCTGCCAATCCCTCCACTGGCCTCCATTCATTGTCCTCCACCCCTCTCTGCCAATCCCTCCACTGGCCTCCATTCAGTGTCCTCCTCCCCTCTCTGCCAATTCCTTCACTGGCCTCCATTCAGTGTCCTCCACCCCTCTCTGCCAATCCCTCCACTGGCCTCCATTCAGTGTCCTCCACCCCTCTCTGCCAATCCCTCCACTGGCCTCCATTCAGTGTCCTCCACCCCTCTCTGCCAATCCCTTCACTGGCCTCCATTCAGTGTCCTCCACCCCTCTCTGCCAATCCATCCACTGGCTTCCCATTGCCCAACAGAAAAAATTCAAAACATTAACAATAACATATAAAGCCATTTATAACTCTCTTGTCTCTAAATATCACCCAAACCATACTCTCTGCTTCTCACAAGACCTTCTACTCTCTAGCTCCCAGTCCATCCCCCACAGTTACTACCTATTGTACCACTAGCCCCTCCCTCCTAGATTGTAAGCTCCCAGGATCAGAGCCCTCCTAAGCCTCTTGTATTGAACTGTATTGTTGCTGTATTGTCTCCCGTTATATTGTAAAACTGTTGGCGCCATAAATCCTGTATAATAATAATAATATATAGTGTGGGAACCCAGATGAACCCCTTCAGGGGGAGGAGTTGATGATAATATATTTGCTCCCAAAGCTGGCCTACATGGTTCAGTTTTATCGTTCAGCCAGCGGGATGACCATAAAAACTGAAGTGATTCCCCCATCCACACATTGGAGGTGGATGGGGGAATCCTCCCCACTGCACTCTTGTATTCTGACAATGGGGGGACTCCTCCGCTCTCAGAATACACAGATCAGCACTGAAGCTATTGGCTGCAATCGCTGGGGGAGTGGCTTTTATCCGGCAGTGGCCACACATGGATGGAAATGTGAGCGATCCCTGCTGAACCAGCTGAATTTCCATGGATCTATGGTCACCTTCAGTGACTTCCTCCCTCCCCCTCATCTCCTTCATGATGGAAGTCATGCTGAGATCATCTCCCATTGGCTGAGCAATATTCTCATTTGTCTCTCAGCTACATGTTGTCCCTAGTACGTTGTGTAGGAGCTCTGTTGAGGCCAAATGCCACAGCCAAGTTCCCGTTGAGTCCCTGTGAGCCCGCTTACCGTGGGTGTCCCTATGAGCCGCATGTTGCGGAGTGCCATGAACTGTCCGGATTGAGTGTCTTTCAGAGTTCAGTAAAGTTTTTGTGTGTTCCCCGTCTTCTTTGTGTGTTCTGTCCTGCCTACGCTTCCGTCACAGGGAGCTCTGGAGACAATTGTCTGCTATTTACACTCCGTTCCTCCGCACGTCACCTGATCACATGACAGCTTACTTCCACAGATTCCGGACAGATTTCTGGATGGTAAAGGTCAAAGTTCACTCTTCAGTTTAGAGAGAGGTAGGACGCACCCAGGAACAAGGATTTGGTTTGCATGAGAGCCTCATATAGAGGACCCCTCAAATCTCCCCATCCAAATGTCCCTCCATCCGGAGTCAGAGAATCCTATGACATCACACTGACCTCACAGCTCCTCCTCCCAATGTCCCTCCATCCGGAGTCAGAGAATCCTATGACATCACACTGACCTCACAGCTCCTCCTCCCAATGTCCCTCCATCCAGAGTCAGAGAATCCTATGACATCACACTGACCTCACAGCTCCTCCTCCCAATGTCCCTCCATCCAGAGTCAGAGAATCCTATGACATCACACTGACCTCACAGCTCCTCCTCCCCCCCAATGTCCCTCCATCCAGAGTCAGATAATCCTATGACATCATACTTACCTCACAGCTCCTCCTCCCAAAGTCCCTCCATCTGGCTTTTTAAGTGTTCTTGCAGGGTGACCACTTCCTGTTATCTCACATATATATTCTTATTATTATAGCCAAATTTACCCCCCTAACTCCTCCCACAGTTGTTCACTACATAGACAGTAACATACCGAACGTGCGGGATGTTCCCGATTGGTGTGCTATTACTTTGTGGAACGTTTTGCCGAACGGTTTTCACAAAATATCGCCGTATTTGTGGTGAAATTGGTCCCATAGGAATGAATGGCGGAATGTTCAAAACTAGAGTGCGAGCTGAAAATTCAGGAGATGATTTTTCAGTTACTCCAGCCATTTCCAACACACACAACAGTTACTCCGCCCTCTCCACCCAGTTACTCTACCCCCTCTAGTTGTAGAGGCAAGAACACTTCACACAATTTCCCCAGAAATTGGAGCTTTTCTAGTTTTTTATGTTCTTAGGATGTCAGCAGGTACTTGTTATTCTCACTAACACAGTGGGACTGTTTGTCCTGTTATATGTAATGACATCAGAATTGCTTACACCAAGCTTTACCCTGAGTTATGTGGGGGTCCTGTGGGGGGGAATTATACCTCAGCCTGAAGTGGGGCTTTAATAAAATGGACCTGAATGGAGAGGTGAGGAGGATTCTGGGAATATCATTTGATGTGACTATTTGTGTTCAGATGTAGAGTTTTCCTCCTGTGAAGTCTGGAGATCATATGACATCACATTGCCTCCACCTCCCTCCCTGATAGAAGAGAGAAAGAAGAAGAAGATTCTAGAAGTCACCAGAGAGATCACTGAGCTGCTGACAGGAGAGGTGAGCGGTGCGGTGCCGGGAATTCTGGGACATTCTCCAGTAACAGACAAGGGATGTGTCTGGATGGTGACTGTATCATTGTGTGTGTCAGGTTCCTATAAGGTGTCAGGGTGTCACTGTCTATTTCTCCATGGAGGAGTGGGAGTATTTAGAAGGACACAAGGATCTCTACAAGGACGTCATGATGGACAATCAGCCGCCCCTCACATCACCGGGTAAGAGGAGACTTTATTGTAAAGGAGAGAGCAGTACGGAGGATCCACCTAGATCCCCCATCATCTGATAAACACATAGAAACAATGGATTCAGTCAGTGTGTGTGTTTCCTACAGATGGATCCAGTCATGGGACCCCCACCAGAGAGATGTCCCCGTCCTCTGTATTCCCGGGATTCCACACAGGAAGGTCACACCATCCCTCACCATCATCAGGTAGATGAGGAACAATTCACTGATAGTATCATTAGGATCTGTACATTATCTGCATTGTTACCATTGATGCATTTTTATTATATATTCAGAGTGGAAACCTGAGAGATCCTAAAGTTGGTTAAAGAAGAGATAAAAGAGGAGGAGGATGAGGATGGGGGGATGGAGGAGTCAGAGCTTCTAAAAAAACACAAAGATGTGTACCAGGACACCATGGTGGAGTCATCCAGCTACAGGAACCCACCAGAGAGATGTCCCCGTCCTCTGTATTCCCGGGATTCCACACAGGAAGGTCACACCATCCCTCACCACCATCAGGTAGATGATGACAATTATTGGTAGTTGTGATTTATACACAGCATGTTTGTTACAATGAATGTTTTATTATATCTTTCAGAGTGGAATCCTCGGGGATGATAATATTGATGTTAAAGAAGAGTATAAAGAGGAGGATGAGGAGTATGGAGTGATGGAGGAGTTTTCAGAAGGACACAAGGATATGATGGAGCCACCTAATACCAGGAACCCACCAGAGAGATGTCCCCCGTCCTCTGTATTCCCGGGATTCCACACAGGAAGGTCACACCATCCCTCACCACCATCAGGTAGATGATGACAATTATTGGTAGTTGTGATTTATACACAGCATGTTTGTTACAATGAATGTTTTATTATATCTTTCAGAGTGGAATCCTCGGGGATGATAATATTGATGTAAAAAGAAGAGTATAAAGAGGAGGATGAGGAGTATGGAGTGATGGAGGAGTTTTCAGAAGGACACAAGGATATGATGGAGCCACCTAATACCAGGAACCCACCAGAGAGATGTCCCCGTCCTCTGTATTCCCGGGATTCCACACAGGAAGGTCACACCATCCCTCACTATTACAAGGTTGGTGGGATGGAGAATCTAGAACATGGACTTGTAGAGACTATGGGCTCCAATCACAAAGCGGTATCTTCCCGTATCCCAGTATGTAGTAAGATACTGCATGCTGTTTTTTAGTAGTGAATCCTGCGGGTAATTTACCACTGGTGTCCTTAGCAACACTTGTAAATAGCTTGTTGTTAAGGAGAGGGCAGCCGCCAGTGTCCTCAACAACCAGTAAACAAGAGGCGAATATTGACAGCTGTGACAGGTCTGATTTTTAGGGAAACCCTGGTGCCAAAATAATTTAAAAAATGGCGTGGGTTCCCCTGCAAAATCAATACCAGACCCTTAGTGAGTGCCCACCTTTCTCCTGAACCATACCAGGTAACACACCCTCAACATGGGGTGGTTACTTTGGGGCAGGGGCCCCCCCAAAAGCACCTTGTCTCCATGTCGATGGGGACAAGGGTCCCATCGCCACAACCCTGGCCAGTGGTTGTGGGAGGATGTGGGTGGGGGGCTTATTGTGTGACTGAAATGTACAGATTTGAGTAGCTGAAATGTGACCTGTAGCAATATGTAATCGTAAATTTAGTTCATTCCTTGTCATTAAAGAAATAAGGTATTCAGAGACAGATGGTCACCAATTAGCATCTGAAGGGACCTAGCTTCCTCTGGAAGTGGCACCTGGGTGCTTATAAGATTTTGTCACCTATACGTAATCAGACTCTGCCATCTTCCTGAAGCTTAAAAGAGAAACGCAGATGTTTCGGCTTCATGACACCAGGGGGGCTCCAATCTGTCTAGGGAGCACTAAAAGTACATACATAGATCAAAGGAATATGTTTCATCCCTCATAAAAGCTAAAATATTAGTTGCAGAGAGATGACAATACTTCCTTCTGATGGGACACTGTGTAGGCTGCATCGGCATATAAAAACTATATTTGTGGACTATGTAGAATTCAGAAAAATGCAGAAAATGGTTATGTGGTGCTGGAGTGTGATAGCGGAACAGTGATTGGTATTGTCGCGATCGGACCGATGCACTGGTGTTGGAAATTCAATCCCCGACTTGGTGATTCAAACCGGTCTTGGTCCAATTGACTTTGGGCAGTTCAGCACCCAGAACAGCCTGTGGGCGGGTACAGGAACACCCCTCAGAGTCGATTGGCCAAGAACTAATGTCCAGCCCACGTCCATATCCCCATAAATTGAGGACCCGTACATTGGGACAGTGTGATTCATATGGAGCGCGTCCTATTGACTGACGGATTGTGGACTTTCTCTGACTTGCTCCAGTCACAGAATAAATCTTGGTAAAAGTTTAATTTCTGTTTTTTATTCCCTTTTATTTTACAGTGAATATGTGTGTCTTCTTGTATTTTATGTATCTTCTGTAACTCTTTATACTTTGTACATATTTTATGCACTGCCCACTTTCGGGATATTAAATCTTAAAATTAATAAGTGACTTCTGTGTATTTAAGCTCGGGCTCATATCTCCGGAGAGATCAGATTGGAGAGATCAGATTGGAGAGATTAGATATTGTATTGTATTTTAGTGTCTTTATACGCTCGTACAAGCTCATTGCCAATCTATATGCAATTGCTCTGTGTGTTTGCAAATTGCGTGCAGATTGTAAAAGGTAACAGATCTGCCAGACGGAGATCTGTGTGTGTGGGGTGTCCCAGCAGACCGTTCTGCGGATAAACTGTTGGGTGGTGGCCAGCTACCGTTTGTGGTGTGTCTGGTGTGTGTGGTGTGGGGGTGTGTGGACAGTGGAAGAGTGATTAACATCGGGGTTCTGGCTTGTAGGATAGATGGAGGAATCCTAGAAGGGTGTGTGATTGCTAGGCTGCTCCTCAACAATAGTTAGTGCATCAGATTGTATGTAAGATTTGTATCTGCCAGTGTGTGGTCAGCCATCTGGATTGGAGTAAAGTCTCCCCCCGGTGGTGGCCAAGAGGTAGTATGGGCTGTGAAAGTATGTCACGGACGGTCTTATATACGTAGATACATTCACAGGTAAGTTCCCCTTACTTCCTCTTACCCCAAGTCACGGCCGCACGTGCCCACCTTGGTTAGCTAGTCGCTGTGGGTGTGGCATCTGGGTGAACATGTGACAGATTAAAATCTAGAAGCCACCTTTAACAAGGAGGCCTCAAGATCCCGGCCCCCCACAATGTGAATGAGTATAGAGTACAAAGTACCCCTATTCATTCACCAAACAGTGTAGTGTAAAAAAAAAACACTGGAAGAAAATTTTTGACAAAACAAAAATAAAGAAAAATGTCCGCCTGATGTAGATTTATCGATGATCCAATCACGATACTCGCTGTCATTGCTGACTCAAAGAAAAAACAAAGCTCCCCTCCTGCCATATGACAGCTCCGCCGCCCTCCCACTTCTAAATAAAACTAAATAAACTAAGGAGCGCTACAACCCTGTGATGTCACTGGGTGGCCTTGCCCTCTTGTGATGTCACCAATACAACATGCCCCGGTCAGTGACATCACCAATACAACATGCCCCCGGTTAGTGACGTCACCAATACAACATGCCCCGGTCAGTGACGTCACCAATACAACATGCCCCGGTCAGGTCAGTGACGTCACCAATACAATATGCCCCGGTCAGTGACATCACCAATACAACATGCCCTGGTCAGTGACGTCACCAATACAACATGCCCCGGTCAGTGACGTCACCAATACAACATGCCCCGGTCAGTGACGTCACCAATACAACATGCCCCGGTCAGTGACGTCACCAATACAATATGCCCCGGTCAGTGACATCACCAATACAACATGCCCTGGTCAGTGACGTCACCAATACAACATGCCCCGGTCAGTGACATCACCAATACAACATGCCCCGGTCAGTGTCACAATACAACATCCCCGGTCAATCACCACCAATACAACATGCCCCGGTCAGTGACATCACCGAGTGGCACCGTCCCTTAGTATATTTAGTGGCAGGAGGCAGCAGAGCTGTCAGACAGAGGGGAGTCTTCATTGGGAGCGGAGCTTTTCTTTCCGAGTCAGCGGTGACAGCGAGCATCGTGATTGATGATGGATCTACACCGGGGGGGACATTTTGCTTTATTTTTGCTTTTTTAATAAAGGACTTGTCAAAAACTGCCTGCTGTCTATTTAACGGAATACTTTTTTGGGGTCAATAATTAGGGGTACCATGTACCCCATACTCATTCACATGGA